ATGCACACACACACACACACACACACACACACACACACACGCCCGTTCAAAAAAATCTGCATTCCAGTTTTTCCTGTGAAAAATGTCTTAGGCAATTGAAAATCATTTGTCTAGTAGAGGTTGGTTTTACAATTAAAGGTCAACCAAAACTGTACTTAAAGCATTGGGGACTCTGCAAAGTAGTCCTTATAGACAGGAATTACCAACTAGAGGGGTTTCATTGTATAAGGACTATTACTGTAGACCTCTAGAAATGGGACACAACTTCTGCCCTGGGACCATACATGCATTGCTCCCTACCAACTCCGTGGAATGATATATAGAGGAAATAAGAGAATTATTATTATTCCATTTAACCACACTAAAGCAAGGCACAGCACTCATTGAATTAAATGACTGGGTCATCTTAATGTAATAAATCTATTAATTCAGATAATCATATATGTGATTTATACTATGCTAGACAATTGCTAACATGTCATTTCTTTGTTTAGGGATTTTTAATTTGAAAGTGCTCTAATCCTCAGTGTCAGCTGTTCCTGGTGGGTGATGACATATCTAGTGCGAGTGAAACATGCTGATGACATATAGAGTGTAGGAATCAAATGTCATAAGCATAAATATTTAAGCAATAAGACATGACAGGTAGAGCATTTCTTGGCAATTATAGCACACCTCGGGTGGTGTTATGATGAGGCATTTGTCCAAAGGCCAAGAGACTTAAACCACACTGGAAGTAGCACAATCGCCTGCAAATGTGCTGCTTGGACATCTTATTGACATTCTTTTCTTCCTGATGAGTCCTCCATTTTGCAGCTTGAGCCCCTATGATCCACCATTTCCTCTGTTAAGAAAAGCCCCAGAGGGGGATATATATATATATTAGAAAGTTATGAACACCTCAGTTACCTAAAAGTGCAGTTAGAATAGAAGTTGGAATTCAGCCTCACTCTAGCATGCACTGTCTGCATTCACATTTTAAGTTTCGTAGATCTGGCATTTTCTCCTTTTGAGAGTGATTTCTGAATCAAGTGGACATTGACAACCTGGCGATGTGAAACTGAGAAATTCCTCCAGCAGTATTCAAAATATTGGCAGGATTCAAGTAGAAAACGCCATATAATCTTCATTTAGGAGCTGCTCTCTATTAGCCATCACCCTTGTTTTATAACTGTACCAATACTGTGAAAGTCTCAGGGGAACACAGTGAGATATAATAGAAATTTCTCTTGACTGAAAGGAGCAAAGAAAAATAAGTATTTTTTTCAGAAGCCCCAGCTTCTACTCAGTGTGCCAAAATACGTCAGCTGGTGTCAGTTGACATAACTCCACTGAAATCAAAGATACTAGACCAATTTACACCAGCTGAGGATCTGGCCTCAAGCACCTTCCACCATGGTCAGCCTTTAGTGATCTGGAACCCAAACTCCTCTTCTCTCTAAACTGTATTCAGCCCAAAGTGAAAATTAAAACAGACTTTGTGAACCTTTAATTTCCATGATAAACATTTTGTTGCTGTGTGGAAGAGCAGACTTATGTAGAAATTTCTCCATTTGGCTTAGTTCTGTACCATCTATGGGGATTCCTGCCACTTCCTAATATGATCATAACTCCTCTCCTTTTCACCTATCTGCCTTGCTGTGCTGGACACCATACGTGGAAAGGTCTGTATATACCTCTAGGTGTCAACTCTACAGAATTCCCCCCTCCCCAGGAATGTGCCTCAATTAGGAAAATTACATGCAATATAACAAGTACAAGCCTTCAGGCCAATTTTAGCACCACATTTGGTGAGGTGCTCTGCTCATTGTGTTGGGACCAGAGTTGGTTTCAATTTTTCAAATTTCAAAATTTTTTAAATTTCAAAATGCAAAATTTCATCAAGTCATTGTCCCCTCCCCCTTTTCTTTTCTCCAACCAACTACAGAGCTGGTGGAAATTTTTGAAATTATGAAAAACACAGGAATTTTTTTTATTTTAGGTTTGTAACTTCCCCTCCCTCGTTTTTAGACCTGTGTAGCATAGACACTGTGGTTTCTCTCTGGTTGCTTTCAGGCTAGCACTCAGCTTCTTTTTCTCTTGAGCAGTGGATCCAAATACCTTGTCCCCTGTTCTGGGCGAGGATCTCTCACTCTTCTCACTGCTCCTCAATGCTAGAGATGTGGAGTGTGGATTCTTCCTGGCTGGCATTTCCTCACCACATTCCATAGTTGGAACGTCACATACATGAGCGATGGATGAACCGCCCCTTCGGGAAGGCTAGCCCCAGACCCCCACCCCCCAGAGTCCCAAGCCCTCCCCTGCAGCCAGATCCCCAAGAACATCCACACACACACACACACAACTGCCCCAAGCCGCTGGCCATCCTGTCCCAGCTGCACCGGCCCAAGCCACTGGCCTGAATACAGGGCAACCAATTGGCCTGAGCTGCCCCGGGCTACCAGTTTCAGGGGAGAGGAAGGGAGAGGGCAGGACCTTGAGGCAGAGCATAGGGGAGGCTTAGTTTCCCCTGGCCTATGATATCCACCGCCCATGTTCACATACTCCAGGGAGGCACCAAACCATTGCTTTTCCCTAAGACACCTATTCAGCTACAGTCAGTCTGGATGGCCTTTAAAATTCAAGGCACAGGAAAGCTAATGTAACAAAGTAATAAAAAAAATGCAGGGATGGAAAAGACAGCAGCAAAGTTTTCTTTGTGATCATTGTTTAACACTGTAAGTAATTAAATATTAATGAAAGTATGCTACTTTCATTCTGTGAGCAATTTAATTCAATTAAAAATAAATGGATCTCCTTGGCTCAGTGGATAGACTGATATTCAGCATTGGCCTTAACTTTGTTTCAACCGCATTTAACTCCAGCACAGAACAGAGCAAAGTACTGTAAATGAAACATAGCCCCCAGCTAACATCGTTAACTCTTTACATCCCCGTGGCATGATTTTGTCACCTTGTTGAACCAGCAAGGCCTCTCTCAGGGAATATTGGCTCTGCTGTTTAACATGCACGAACAGTAATTTGTACCCAGTGTGTTATCTAAGATAGCTTACACTGGGGCACTGTTTTCTTGAAAGGAAGCCATTTCGGAAAGACTTAACAGGCCGGCATGCAATGAGCTGGTTAAGTGATATATCTGGGAACTTCATGCCAGATAATGTAGAACTATTCTTTTATTGCACTGAGAAGAGCTGTTTTAGATTCCCTTTGAGCCCATAGGCCATGTCTTTCTGATAATAAGAGTGTTATCAATGCTTTAATATTTTACTCAAATCTCTGTGTGAGAGAGCATCTCAGAGCTATTATTCAGTGCTGAAAGCAAAACCCGACTGCTCTGAATGAGGAGGAAAATGCCAATCTGTTGACAAAAAGTTAAACAGAGGTGAAATCTAAACTCTGGCCAACATTTTACAGCCTTAACGCATTGTTAACTTTTCATCTTATCTGTCAGGAATAGGAAACTAATGTTTAAAAACAATGTATTGCTTTTACAGGCAAGGTCAGTATTTGTTAGACTTCAGGGTTATACCAAGTATAGTCAGCCACTGCCATACAGAAATAATTGCTTCAGCACCCATGCTCTGAGTTCCTCCAAAAGTTATAGTCCCAATCTTTCCTCCAGTCAGCAGGGACTGGACTTTATTTTGTAGATTTTCTTTGTTTGTTCTGGGTTTTCAGTGGTGGCAGAGGGCCGGGGGTAGTTAAAAAAACGGTTAAGTGATGTTAGTGTAGAAAGTCTAGGTCAAAGAAGTGACTGTTGCATTTCACTCTGGAGGCACCAAAGTTCATGGTCATTCTGATCTCTTCTGGGAGTGAGGTCCAGATTTGTGGGCCTACCTCCGAGACAACACAGTGCTTCTCTAGACCAGAAAGCATTCTTTGCTCAGCTGTGCAACTCCCAAGGAGCAGCAAAGGGGAAATTAAACAGATACTGTCACTCTGAGTGTGTGAGAGAAAAATCTCATTCAGAACATGAAGCTCACTGATGTTTCTCCTATATTGGTTTATATTAAATAATCCTACCTCATACACCCAGAGAGCATCTTATCCACAGTATGAGTGTACAGATTATGCCAATGATTATGATACTTGAAAAAGTCAGCCCAGTGGTCAACAAACTACCAAGAAGAAAAAAATTAGATTTCTGCTAAAAAAAGAGAAGGAAGAGGAAGAATTCTCAGTGTTTCTAGGTAGGTTACAGCTAGACAAATACAGCCAAAAAGATTCAGCAAATACTTTAGTGATTCAAATCTGCTGTTTGCTCTGCTGATAGTCATAATCCCTCTTCCTGACTTATTTGTGAATACACACGGAAGCAAGTCTTTATGTGTAAGACATACTGAGAGCCAAAGCACTGTGAATACTACTATATGCAAATGGCTGTGGGAGTATTCATACCTCAAAGGCTCTTGCAGCCATTCATATTAGTCACAAAACAGATCTGTCGTACAAGTAAGAACATATATGGGTTATGTGCAAACAGAAAAGGGGTTGTTCAGTCAGGGGAAAGAAACTATGCCATGTGACCTACGTAACCAATCACACCGCAAGCATAATAATAGCAAATACTCACCAGTAGCCAGTTGTGAACAAATCATAGGCTAAACTCATCAAATCAATTGGTTAAAAAATCAGGAGCTGTTTGTGGCTAATCTCTGAACAGTAGAAAAGGATCCAGTTCATCAGATAAATTATTCACAATGAATAATTCGACCAGCTCTAGGTGAGAAACACTTTGTACCTAACAGCCCACGTGTTTGGAGACTTCCCTGATTGTTTTAATCTCTCCAAGCAAATGAGAGCCCTCAAGGCTCATTAGGGCTATTTACACAGTTCTTAACTGGAAAAAATTAGATCTAGAAAAATGAATAAATAAATAAGCCAATGTGAAATGTGAATGAGATAGTCATGTTCAAAACTGAGTTCCCAGGCTGATAACGACACACAAAAAATTTAGCCAGCTGAACACATTTCTTTGACTTCCTTTTGGTTATTGCAAAGTAGCATCTCTGGAGGGAAGAGACAAAGAAATAGGAAACAGAAACAGTAGTATTTAAGCCCAGATGAAAATACCAGAATCTGAACCCAAATCTTGATCCAAATCAAAAGAAGATAATCTTGTGCTTTGGGTTCTGTGCTGGGACACCGAAGATCTGGGTTTGATCCCTGGCTCTCTCTCTCTGTGTTATTACTCTCTGTGCTTCAGGTCTCCATCTGTAAAATGGGTACAATGATACTTCCTTTGTCTGTCTTGTCTCTTTAGATTGTAAACTCTTGGGGAGCAGAGATTGTCTCTTATTCTGAGTTTGTACGGGGCCTAGTGCAATGGGATTTCAGTGGGGCTCTCTAGATCTGTGGTGAGCAACTTGCGGCCCATCAGGGCAAGCCACTGGCGGGCTGTCAGACCATTTGTTTACATTTGCACGGCTGCCCACAGATCCCAGTGGCCACGATTTGCTGTTCCCAGCCAATGGGAGCTGCGGACAGCCATGCAAATGTAAACAAATGGTCTGGCGGCCCGCCAGCAGCTTGCCCTGATAGGCTGCGTGCGGTCCGCAGGCCACAGGTTGCCCACCACTGCTCTAGATGTCGCAAAATATTAATCAATTTTGCAGATGGCCTCATCTTTATAATCAGCTGAACCAAAACTTTGGATCCAAATACTCCTGAACTTTGGGTGCTTAAAGTCTGGATCCAGATAGGAATTTCAGCCTAGACTCTTCTCCAATAAAAAGGGTACTTCACAAAAGTTCTCTATATTGTTATTGGGTGAGAAAGACACATCCTCCTAACACAACAGTAGAGTAGAGCCTGCAACAATCCTGATCTTCTCTCCGACACAGAG